GCTGTCGTGCGGTTGTTTAACGCTCTATCACCATCGAAATGCCGCGGCCGGTATTCGATCCGCCGACCTTCGGCGATCAGCTGTCGAGCACCACCAGGTCATCGTGTATACAGCTTTTCCCGGGAAGGAAAAAAACACCGCCATGATGGGCTGTGCGCGGGAGTACAAAGGCTAAGGGCGCAGCGTTGTCAGTGCATTTTCGAGGGTACGCGCCAATTTGCACAGACCAAGGAGGGCTATGGCGGCGCCCGGGGAGGCGTTTATGAAAAGGTGAATACGAAGAAAGTCGGCAGACTCCGCTCCACATGCCGCGGTTCAACTCTCCTCATCAAATTTCACATGATACACGTGCCCGGCTGCGAGCTAGCGAAAGAGGAGGACGACGACGTGACGCGAGTGCCGCTTCGTCAGTGTGGCGTTTGTAGCCATGTGTGGCTTATGTTTTTCATGAGAGTTAAGTAAATCATTCCCTTTTTCAACGTCTCGGGCGCTTCAAAGACGCCGCGAGATAACACATGCCAATTTCTTTAAGTCCCCTCTGCCCTTCCTTCTAGCGATCACCCGCCATATTTATATTTTAAAATCCGCCTTTTCCGTTTTGCTGTAAAGCCCTCCGCCGTTTTGGTAGGTACTGAGAGAACTGGAGCGAGAGCCTCCGAGACCGGGACGCATTTTGCGACTTTCCCGCTAGGGGAAAAACAAAAGTGGAAGCTTTAAGGGTTTGTATTTCTTCGTTAGGCACAATATTAATGAGAACAGATCTCACTCTCAAAAAAAAATCATAGGGTATCTTATTAGCAGTAAATATTTTTACTACAACAAGATCCCCAGACTTTCCTTGACGACTAATAGGATCCCCTACACTTTAATTAAATGTCTGTTAGTTCTATTAATAAAGGGATGGACGCACGCGCTGTGGCACCGTGAAAACGGCAGACTACAGCGTAGCCTCGCTTGTATTAGCTAGAATCTTTAATTACGCCCCACCTCGAGCCGAGTTGCCTCAGGTTCTCGTTTACCGATGCTATCTGCCATTGGCCGGCTGCGATCGCTAATCGTTGGACGCACATTATGATATCGGTCGGAATTTACCAATCGCGAGCAGGCGCGCGCATATGCGCCAATACGTATCTTGCTTTCTCCGCCTCTAAGGCCGTCGGGTTCGCATAAGGAAAGCTGTCCAATCCTCTCGACACAAAGAATCGCGCGTAAACCCGCTCGAGTCGAGCTGTAACTCGACCCATTTAGCGCCAAGTCCATCGTTAGCGAAGCATATATATATATATATATATATATATATATATATATATATATATATGCCTAATAACACTTAATACACTTTTTTATACTTTCCTTGGCATTATTGTCTGTTAGATCTCATTAATATTGTGTAAACGCTAAAAACGAGCCCTTAGGTATACACCTGTATCCATTATATATATATATATATATATATATATATATATATATATATATATATATATATATATGGCGGAAAACCATATATATATATATATATATATGGCGGAATAGTACATCGGCGGAAAACGAGATCGACAGGCAACAAGTGTTAATAATTAATTCCACGTCCGCGTAACGCCAATAATAACGGGTGCCACTCAAGTAGCACAACAGAACGCCGAAAAGAGCCCCAATTTCGAACGAGTACGCCCACCTCATCACCTGGTACTCCGGGGCATCGTTTATATATGCGCGAGAAGGCGGGAGACACGTATGCCACGTTTTCCATGCACGAGTAATGCCGAGAGACTACTATTACCACCGCCATTATTACCACTGTCCTTTCTTTTCTTATTATTATCATTCGGTGCAACAGCGGGGCGGGGCACATCGCAAACTGCTTCGCAACGCGCGGGGCGCACAAGGGCGTAACGCGAGGAGCATTTAGAGGACCATCTAGTCGTCCTCCTCCTCGGAGCGCAAAACGCGCCCGAAAATGCAGATTAGCTTTTCCCCCGACGCAAACGACGACGACGCGACCAATTCTTCCGAGAAAAGGCACTCACCGTTCCAACCTAACTACGATACAACGACCGGCCAACACCCCTCTTGGATATGCCCGCCCTCCCGCGTTTTGGGCAACGAGGTCGCGCCTGCGTGAAGGGGGCGAAGGGGTTGTCCCAGCACACACGGGGGAGGCAGAAACTATCTGCGGTAGGTCGTTTGCAGCTCGCTAGGACGACGGAGCGTCGAAACGACGGTAGTATACAAGTCGAACGGGGCTCGAAGTGTGTGTGTGTGTGTGTGTGTGTGTGTGTGTGTGTGTGTGTGTGTGTGTGTGTGCGCTAAGTGTAACCTTGAATACCGCCCTCGTCATAGACCATTTTTCGTATAGACTGTTTTCCGTTAGACATCTTTGGCTCCGCCATATGGGCGGCCTGTCGAATGCTCCCACCAACCCAATCCCCTGCACGTGCGCCTACCCACCTACTGTAATACGGTTCGTTTAATTGTTAAAGATAAAAAAACACAAAGGTTAACTGTACAATATAGCGGCACTCGAACCCATCCGTCAAATGCTCTACATCAGTGGTTCTCAGCCATGGATGTGTTAAGAGACCCCTTGTGGACTGGTGGAAGTGATGAGGAACCACTGCTCTACACTGGCTTCCAGGGCGCCGCCCTTAATCCCTCCCCTCTGGGATGTGGTCAACAACCGTGATCCCCCTCCCCGAAAAAATGCACAGCCGAGGCTCTGAGCGTAAACTCGTGCACTCCCGTGCGTCAACGAAATACGAAATTCGGCGATACGACACAAAGCTTTTGGGAACATCAGAGCGTGATACCAGACATTCACATAGAACGAGATACGTACGCTCCCTAAAGTCCAGATCGCTTTATCTCTCTCTCTCTACTAAGGATCAGCGTATATTTATGCCATAGCTATCAACCGACCCCTGTGTGGAGAACCAAGCGCTAAACCATGCAAGTATACACAGAGGTTACCACCGAAATTCCCATCTTTATGATGGCCCCGTCGCTGACGCGGCTTGTGGTATCCCGCCTGCTGACCCGAAACGTCGCGGGATCGTATGCCTACCGCATTTCGATGGAAACGAAACGCCAAACGCCCGTGTACTTACATTTAGTGTTTGCGTTAAAAAGCCTCCAGGTTGTCGAAGATTTTTGGAGCCCTCAACTACGGGGTCTCTCATAACGATATCTCGCTTTTGGAGGCCGTAGACCCATTATTACTGCGACGTCCATGGAACGTCCGCCTCGTTCGAAAGGTTTTCTTTTATATATTTTTTCTTACTACGCAGCACCGCAGTACTGGGGAGCCACCAACGCAAGCGGGTCGAGCAGCGCCCGGCGGGAGCCCCGAAATGGATCGATAAATGCGCAAAGCTGCCACAGCACTGGCACCGCCACTGCAATGACGGCGGCAGATTCTTCCCCTCTCCCTTTCTCCGCCAACCAACCACGCTCGCAGCTAGCGCCCGCCCTCTCTTCCTTCCCCCTCGACTTGCGCCGCTACACTGTGATACAGTGTTAACGACATGACGACGACGCAGAACGACTCTCCGTTCCGGATTCGACGCTTTCGCGACCCACGTCTTTTATCTGGCCGCCGCAAGACCCGGGCTTCCACGACGGCGCCAAGGTCGTACCGCGGCCTTCGAACGTCGACCACCGCGCGCCCTCCTCGGCGCATCTACACCACTGCAAAGACGGCCGGCCGCCGGCAATACGGCTAGCTGCCAAGCTCATCGCGTCGGCAGCAACGGGAGCTTGAGCGATCGGCGTGCGTTGTTCGAGACAATCCTTTCGTTTTCGTTTTTTTTTCTTTTTTCAAGCGCAGGCTGCTCCAATAAACGGCGCGAACAGACCTAGCTAAACAACCAACTGTAGTAGACACTCGTTTGGCGTCGCTAGCGAAAGTGATCGTGGAGTCGAAAAGGCGTTTTTAGTTCAAGAGGTTCCAATGTGCTTACGTGCGCAAGCCCTTCTGTTTTTCGGTCGGGCTCTCTATGAGTGCGGCCGTCGAAAAGTAGAAAGCGGGGGGGTTAGGGCCTTTTCATGCGCTAGCCGCCCAGCCGCAACGCACGTGCCGGCACACCTGCCGCATCCAAGCGGAGGGTGAAAGAGCGTCGCCAATTGGCTTATTTGCCACCCGCTTGCGTTCGGCACGCTGAATTCACGCTGAACCAACGATCACGTTACCCGCTACGTGCGGATATACAACGAGTCAATACGATAGGACGCAATATACATGTATACTGAAGTACGCGCGGACCCAAAGCTACCGGATCTAGGACTTCATTGAGAACGAATGGATCGACGTAGGGAAAGACAAAGACGGGAGAACTTGAAGCGAAAACACTAACAAACACGTCGCATTCAAGCCAGGAGACGTCGGCGTAAGTGTGTGCGATATCTAAACAGTTTACTCGGGGAGCTCTGAAAGCAGGGAACCACGCTCCATCTCTTTTTTTTATTATTCTTTGTGTTTTTAACAGTGAGCGTAGTCACCGATTTGGTCAGAGGCTTCCTACAGTAACGGCCTTTCATCGTCCACGCACCAGAAACGCGAATGCTTGAAAAAACATGTACCCGAGGTGCAAAGGGCGATACGAGAATTCCGTGAAGCACCGTTCAAGAGATATGCATTTCTCTCTTTCTAGTCGGCTATCTACAACACGACGGTCCGACGCGAAAGTGAAAGTTCCCACAATCCTTTCGCGGTCATTAAACTCGAAGCTGGAGTCTCGTTCCGCGTGATAGCGCTAGCTGTGCGTAAACTCCAAAATACACTGTTTAGAATGGAAGGCAGCCGAGGAGCACGTAAACGGTAAAAAGCATTAACCACTCCCTGCACTTACGCGGTCTACGTAGACCAGACAATCAACGCGATCAACGGTGGGGAACAGGTTAAGGAAATAGACGACAGCGCTGCATCCAACGCGCCAGTGACAAGCGCGGTTTACAGTGTAGACTATGTAATCAAGGGGGTCGGTGACGCGACAGGCAATGAGGAGCTATGAACACCATTTGCGCAGCGCAAGAGAAGCCTGTGCGGAAGTACTCGCCTGTTTCCGCTTGGCGGCGTCGGGGAACTTGTCCTTGAACTGTCGCAGCAGCGCGCGCATGTCGTCGGCGTCCTCTAGGGGCTCGCGGTCGTCCAGGAGCAGGTACTTCCTCCAGCGACCGGAGTCGAAGCCCCAGTGGCAGGTGCGCTTCTCTCGCGAACCGTGGCCGTGGCACACAAAGCGGCGCGGCGAGTAGAACAGGCCGCAGTCGCGGCACCGCACCATGGACGTCTCCAGCCACACCACACCGGAGGCGCCGCCGAAGCACTCGTGGTACACGGGCACCCCTGGCCCGACCAGGTTGCGGTTCAAATCCGAAGCCGGCGTGCCGGCGTGCAGCAGCGCGGCGCACAGCCGCTCGGCGTCCGACTTGGTGATGAGGCCGCAACTGGGCGCACTGGTCGGTATCACGCCGGCCCGCTTGAGCACGTCCAGCTGCTCGGGGTTGCATCGCAGGCAGAAGATGTGCAGGTCCGTGCACACGCTGTTGATCTGCGGCAGCGACAGGTCCGTCAGCACGGTGTTGAGGATCTGCGGGAGGCAGAGCCGCTGCTCGCCGCCCACGGTGAAGCACGAGATGGTGTTCCACTCGAGCTGCGTCTCGTCGCGCTCGCTGCCCTGAGCCTGGTCGGGAGGCGTGAGCAACGGCGGCTGTTGGATCGCCGGCAAGGCGGGCGCCTCGAGCGGCTCGTCTTCGTCGCCCAGTCCGCCCGGATCGGCGGCGGCCGAGGCCGCCATGAGCGCGGGCGGACCCTGGAGGCTCGACACGGCCGATGCCTGGTAGCTTTTGAGCACTCGCTTCAGGTGCGGGGTGCAACCGCCGACGCCCCCGGGGGGCGCCGACGTCGTCTGCACGGTGGTGGTCGTCGTCGACGAGGCCATGGCCGCAGCACCTTCGGTGCGGTCATGGAGAGCCCGCATCCAGCGCCGGCAGTTTGGGCCGCGCAGGAGCGGCGGCCGACACACGCACCACGCTCATCGCAGTCCGTCTGCTGCGCCGAAGAGTGCTTTCCCGCACCACCGCCACGATCGGGCAGAGCGCTGCGGTCGCCTTGGCTCTTACGCCTGGCGCGCGCAGCCCCCTAAACCCGCGCCTTCCCTCCGCGCGCCCGCAACCTATTTGTCTGTGGCAGTGCCGCTCCTACAGCGTATGGCGAGCTGCTTCCGGATAGACCACGTAGCCTCGCTGGTAGTATCCTCAACGCGCGCACAAAAACACACAGTTCCAACAGTCGCAACTGCCGACGCACTCAAATCACCGACGCCGAAGGTTGCAGCTGCAACACTGCGTTAGCCACCCTAGCTGCGTTGTCGTTTTTACCGACGGTCGCAGTATCGCGACGTCTGTTAGAAAGTTCGTCACACACACTTCAACACCGCACGAGAGTGAAGCCACGCACGACGACGTTCCGATAGATATATTCCTCTGTGGCCGACGTGTTCCTGCCTCACTGTTCCGGCCTCAGATGCCTGCCTCACTGGACTGGTTGCCGTCGGACGTGCTGCGGCAGCAGCACTGGTTCTTGTTTACGTCGCCTAGCAGACAGCAGCGGCTGCACTTATCCTCGCGAGGAGGTAGAGAGAACTGCTAGCAGCCAACGCGCCACCAGCCGACAGCACCAGCAGCCGCGCGCTGCATGAACATACAAGCAGAAACGATCGCGAGGAGGAACATGAGGGCGCTGTAAAGAACGAGAGGGACCAGAGGGGACGGCGACGTCAGAGAAAACACCTAGGCAAGGCGAAACTCGGCAAGGGGACAAAAAAATACGCGACTCTGAGCGGTGAAAAGAAAAAAAGAAGCAACCAGCTAAACACAAGCTCCGCCGCCGTTCACGCCATCCGTCCGCGCTCGCTGAGAGGGGTTGAAAGAGGCTGGCTATTCCCGCGATTCGCCGATACCCCCTGCCCGTTCCACCAGCCAGGAGTGTTCGTTGGCGTTTTCTTTTGTGCTTATTTACAGCCCTCCTCTTCGTCCCGGCTTGCAGTCGTGTCTTCCTCCTCTCTCAGTCGGCGGCGGCGCACAGACGCCAGACTGCGCTGCCGTGTTTTGTCTGGCTGCCAAAGCGAGCAGACCCCAGATATGCGTCACGGTCACGTGGGCCCTTGACGTCACCACCGGCGGCGGCGCCGAACGCCGCCACTTCCTCTCTCGCCTGCCTAGACAGACGCACAGACGTACGACCTTCAGAGCGGCCCCGCCGCATGCGTTCCCCACTCTCCACCCCCCCCTCGATCCGTACGCTGGCCGCCGGCACTCGCTATGCAGGCGTTCGCTAGCGCTCGCAGGCGCCGCCGTCGCATCTGCCGCCGGCGCACCCTCCTCCCGGCGGTTGCGACTTGCTACGGCGATTGCTACGAAGACCTCTTCGCGCCCCGCGCTGTCTTTTTCCTTTATCATTTTCTTTTTCCTCTTCCTGGCTAGCCAGTCGCTGCCGACGTCGCTCCCGCTGGCCTGCCCAGCCGAGCGCTGTTTTTATTCAGCGAGCGTTTTTATTTTCTCTCTCTTGTCTTTCCTACCACGCTCCCGGAAGACGCAGCTTTCGTTTCGCCGCTGCTCGTTTTCGGACGCGCGCGCATAGCGCTGTATCTCTCTCGGCCTGTCTGGTGGCGGTGGACGCAGGAGGCGAGGAAGTAGAAGGGGTGAGAAGTGCGCCGAGGCAAAGCACGTCTCGGGTTGGATGGCGTAGTAGTGGAGCGAGGAGCATGGAATTAATGGGCTCCCCGGAGGAAACCGGAAACGGCCACGACGAATAGAGTTCGGGGAAATCCCCAAGGCTTGGTCCGCTGTTGCGTGCAAGTGAACTTGTCGAAGCTGTGGGCTGTGTTGCAGTTCACGACGAAATCGCTGCTTTTGAAGAAAAAAAAAAACAAGAAAAAAACGCCGAAAACGCGTCGAGTACCACTCTGTTGCTTTCTTCTGTTTACACCAAACATGTTTTTTAGGGGCGAAGCTCCTTATAGCAGCACCCGTTCGTCCCTCGTAGTTGTTGTAGTAGTGCGTAAAAAGTATAACATTTTGACCTCCAAGGTGGTGCCGGTGATAGATTTCTTCTGTGCGTTGTTAAACAATAAAAGATAGTGCTCAATGTACATGCCAATGGCTGCTAAGGGGGAACGAAAGACAGGAGAATTCGGCTTTTAGTTAATGCGCACGCTGCGAATTTTTTATTGTTCAACAACGCACAGAAGACAAGAAAGGGTTTCTACATTATACTCGCTGTGCGTAACCTCCTAGGTTTTGAAAAAAAAAGGTTTAGCGAGCGTTGGGCCGCATAGCCATGAATACAGTGAACTAGTATATACCATGAACTCGAGGTGGTTAAAGGTTGGAAGTAGACACGAAGCGCAAGCCGTAAGAAAGTGTGCGTGTGCCTTCTCTCGTTCAGTCCTTGGAATGTCCGCTGGATGGCGGTGCTTCTATATGAGGAATATATGATGAAAATATGCGAGATGGTGGTACTTGGAGTGCTGAATAGGTGGACGAACGGACACACAGACAGATGCATGGACGGACGCACGGATTGCTGCACGGACGGACGGACGAATGGACGGACACAGGAGCGGGTGCATGGACGAAAGCAGGGACGGACGCACAGATGAACGTGCGGACGCACGAACAGACGCACGCACGGACGGGCTGATGGACGCATGGACGGTCACACTGACGCACGCATGGATGGTACGGAAGCAAGAACGAATGGACGGACGGATGCTTCGCCCCACTACCCATCATTCACTCCGTAGATATGCTGCCATTTTTTTTTCTTTTTTCTAGTGGACGATATGTCAAATACATCACACACACACAAAAAAGAACATTTCTCTGTAGCCTGTATCTCCGCGTGAATATAAAAGTATTATACTGGCTTGGCCGGGCTCAGAGCATTACAATTTGTGAGCCGCGTGGCGATGCTGTTGCAGTGTCGCAAACTCGTGGTCCTTAAAGAGCTTGTATCAAAAACCGCGTCGTTTTTGAAATACGTGGAGCGTCTTCGAACGGTCGATCGCTTTACAATGAATCAAGTTCGCTTTTCCGTAAACAAAAGTGGATTGCAACGTACATCTTTTTAATTTTACGGCTGAGCGCCAAACTCTTTGAGCACTAGTTGCAAAAGGGCCTCAAATCATTATACAATGATAGAACAGTAGAGGAGCAGGTAACATTGCTAGTGACAGGGAACATAACATTTGCATAGTGAACACGCCATCTCATATGCGCAAGGCGGCTTGCGAGTACCCAAACCCGTGCGCAGAAACATACCACTGCATACAACTATAGGCCGTGTCGTTCATTCAATGTGAAGCAAGCTTTCACACTAAGTCTATTCATTAGTGGCTAATCTCAAACGTTTAGTTGGGTTCCGTTAATGCCGTACTAATTAGCACTAAACTGGAGCCACCATTTGCTAAACATGGCTTGCTCGAGTGCTTGACTGGTTCTTGCGTGCATTTGTGCTACTAAAGCACGTGGTTTGGCGGACCCAGGTCGTTTGCTACTGACAACAGCCGTTAGAGGCTTTGGAATTTTGACGACACACACACACACGCATATATATATATATATATATATATATATATATATATATATATAATATATATATATATATATATATATATATATATATATATATATTATTTATTTATTTATTTTCAATACTGCCAGTCTCACTTGGAGACCAAAGCAGGTGGGCATACAGATAACAACGTGAGTGCAACAGAATACACGCAGTGCACAGTACAATGGCATGTCATACAAAGAAGTGTTCTCTCTAATACAACATTAGTATATACAACGGAAGAATCAAGGTTAATACAATCCAATGGAACACAAAGAAGCCATTAAAAAAAGAATTTGCATGAATATGAAACCTTTTCCTTTCCCTTTTCATGGTTGGGGCTTATTTCCTATCGCGTCACAAAATATTGATGATGATTCTATGGCAGCTACTGTTGGGTCGAGGTTGTTCCACTCCCTAACTGCTGTAGGAAAAAATGAGTATTTAAACGTGTTGGAGTTGCAAAAGTATTCAGTTAACATTTTATCGTGTTTATTACGCGATATCCGGGATCTAGAGAAGGTGATATATTTGGAAGAAATTATGTTGAAGTGGTTGTGCAGAAGGCTATGCATGAATTTTAACCGAGCTTGTCTTGCTCTGCCTGCCAGTGTGTCTAAACCGGATGATGCTAGAAGTTCAGTGGGCGAGTCAGTACGTTTGTATTTGTTATGGATGAACCGTATCGCTTTTCTTTGAACTTTTTCTAGTTGATTTATGTTAGTAATATTGTGAGGGAACCAAACAGTGTTAGCATATTCCAGCACTGGCCGCACAAAGGTTGTGTAACTGAGGAGTTTGATAGGAGTGGGAGCAGACTTCAAGCACCTTTTAAGAAAGAATAACTTACGGATAGCTTTTGAGGATATGTTGGCAATGTGTTTGTTCCACTTGAGGTCGGTTGCTAGGGTAAGTCCTAGGTATTTGTGTTCATAAACTTTAGTTAGTTCAGTGTCATTAAGTGAGTAAGTAAATTCTGACGGGTTCTTCTTTTTGTCACCGTCATTGACACAGATTTGCTGGTATTAATAGACATTTGCCATTGTTCACACCAGGTGTTTATCACGTTAAGTTGTCTGTTCAGGGTGTGGTGGTCTTCGTAACACAGTATTTCTTTATAGATAATGCAGTCGTCTGCGTATATATATATATATATATATATATATATATATATATATATATATATATATATATATATATATATATATATATATATATATATATATATATATATATATATATATATATATATATATATATATATATATATATATATAATATATATAATATATATATATATGTAAGGGAGAGAAGTGTATACCTAAGGGCTCGTATTTACGTGTTTTAACACAATATTAATGAGATATAACAGACAGTAATGCCAAGGAATGTACAGGGGAAGTTATTAGAAGCAATGGAATGTAATTAAGAAGAAAGAAGAAAGAAAAGTGGATGAAAATATTACCAACAGCTGGTAATTTTTTCATCCACTTTTCTTTCTTCTTTCTTTTATTTACATTCCATTGGTTCTAATAACTTCCCCTGTACATTCCTTGGCATTACTGTCTGTTATATCTCATATATATATATATATATATATATATATATATATATATATATATATATATATATATATATATATATATATATATATATATATATATATATATATATATATATATACAGAGCCACGCCATTGCTCGAAATAAAAAAAGAAAGGAAGAACTGCAGCCTCCTTTAAGCCTCCTTGAAGGGACACAAAGTTAAATAATTTATGTCAGCGTGAAAGTTCAATGCACGGACAGTCTACAACGACCATTTTATCAACACCAGTGCCCTACTTACCGAGAAATCAAGCCAAATTCACGATAACACAAGCGCTAGGAGTAGGACATTCGCAACATGATCCCGATTAAGTCAGACGTACCGCCTACAATTTATCACTGGTAATCGCACTAACTGCACTAAATAAAGAACCTTCCGTGCATCTAGAGACGTAATAAAATGCTGCTTAATTGCTCGTTTCTGTTTGATGCATGGAAAAAGAACCGCCGGACGTCACTATGGGGAATGGCGCGTGTGGTTCAAAAGTTCAATTTTAGCGTGGTTAAACT